GAACCACGGAGTCTAGGAGGCTGAAATTTTAGGGTAATGACCCCCTGCCCACGCTCAACCTTGCCCGTTCGAATTCAGCGTCCCCGCCCTCTCGGGTGTCACCTACGGGCTAGTGAAAGTTTTTACGGGTAAATTATTATCTCGGGAACCACGGGATCTAGAAAGCTGAAGTTTTAGGGTAATGACCCCCTGCTCATGTTCGACTTTCTCTGTTCAAATTCATTGTTCCCGCGCTTTTGACTATCAATTGCGGCCTCGTGAAAATTTTGGCGGGTAAACTATTAACAGGCGAATCACAGAAAGATATTCACCCTTCATGGTTCCGAATTCAGATTTTATGCGCTGGTGCGTGAAATTTTTAACTATTTTCCAACGTTTGAACTATTTTTGCATAGACTAAAGTGCAAAGCAGTGAAAATCATTAGTAGGCAATCGTTTGTTAGGCTGAATTGCACAAAACGCATGATCGCACCGGCTAGTCTAGTGCGCGTTGCTATTTATTTTTATTGCTTTTTCTCTTCGCCAGCGACAGTTTTTGACTCCTAAACCTGACTGATTGTGCACAGTGCGCTTGTGCTGCTGCTGCTTAACCCGGAGTCATCTCGGGCGGTGCCTTGTTTTCATTACTTATATTTTCCATCATTTTGTTATTTTTTTAATTCTGCAAATTTTTTGCTACGGAAAATAATTTGTTTGTATTTTACGTCGTTTACATAGCATTCGCCTCCTTTGTTGTTCATCGCTTTTTGGTGCCTCAACTGCGAACTGCCTCAACCTAAATCCCTATCGATTTTTCGTATTCCCACTCATTTCTTCACGGTTATATGTGATCGATCGGGTAATCACAATTATTTCTAATGCTGTGAAACGATTAGATGAAAAAGCAGTGTCTATTTGCAAAATTGAGCTTTTTTCAGGTGGAAGCTGTATGCGAATGTTTTGAGATGTCAAAAGACACTGGCTATAAGGTAGTGATACACATGATGCCCAATTTGCCCAATGTTGGCATTGAAAGAGATTTGGAGCAATTCATTGAGCTCTTCGAGAATCCAGCATTTCGTCCAGATGGCTTAAAACTGTATCCAACTTTGGTTATTCGTGGCACTGGCCTATATGAGCTATGGAAAACAGGACGTTACAAAAGCTACCCGCCAGAGGTTTTGCATTGAATTTAATATTTTATTTAATAATAATTCTTTTCACGAATAATAAATTTGCAGGAAAAATACTTGTAACTAAATACCAACAAATCGCATCACATAGTATTCTTCGTCTTTCGTATAGCAAGAAAATACACTAAGAGCCCAGAGCTAGAATCACATAATCTCAAATTTCGGTCTATTAAACGAAATGTCGTGAACGAAGCCCTTTCTCCAAAAATTGTTTTGACCGGAAGGGAGTTGAACTACTCCTCTTCACCTCCGGACGCAATGTGCTACTGCTATGCCAGAGTCCCTTGTGCCCCAAAGTTTAGCCTGGCGGTACACCTTCTATATATCTGCCTTGATTCGTATTTTTTTCGTATTTTTTCTCGTATTTTTTTCCTTTGTGGCGACTTCTTGCTCGCCTTTCGCGGGTTTTCTGCGACACGAACATACAACTAATAGGCGAGTAGATTAAAGCAATCTGATAAAAAAAACTTGAAATAAAGCTGGATGTTTAGAATATCTTGCTAAAATTAAAGAAAGTAAGAATAAATATGCTGCAAGTTTGGCTTAGAGAAAAAGCTTCTTTTAAAATATATTTTAATCTTGTTAGATCTTGGTGGATCTAACGGCGCGCATCCTGGCACTTATTCCTCCATGGACTCGGGTGTACCGCGTGCAAAGAGATATCCCAATGCCGCTTGTATCAAGTGGCGTCCGATATGGCAATCTTCGGGAACACGCT